TTTAGGTTACCAGGGAAAGGGGATTGGAAGGGACAAATTTGGGAGTATGAGATTTACAAATGTTAGCCACTATATATAAAAATAGATTTTAAATAAACTTTCTTCCGTATAGCAAAAAAAAAAAAAAAGAAAGAGGAAATTTTTAAATAAATATTGTTGTTATTAAGAACTTTCGAAAACGGAGTTGTTAAATAATATTAGTTTCCCTTGGGGTGGTAAACAGTTTGTCGCTGAAGTACTTACTAAAGTACTTGGTATAGTAATCAAGTACTTTACTCAGGTACTTATGACTTCAGTGCTATCAAAGGGCTTCCTGATGTGTGAGGGGAGGACAGGGGCCAGGGTGGGGGCATTGAACAAGATAGCCTTCCTAAAGACCTTTGATTCTAGAAACATGTACATATTGACACAGAATTTTTTTGAGATTTTTCTTTTTTTTTGAGGAAGGCCTGGATCACTATGAACTTCCGTCTTAGTACTGCTTTTGCTGCATCACATAGATTTTGTGTGGTTGTGTTTTCATTGGTATTTGTCTCAAGGTATTTTTTAATTTCCTGTTTGATTTCATCATTGACCCATTGTTTTTTAGTAGCATGTTGTTTAGTCTATGCAGTCATTCTTTTCTCATTTCTCTTTGTGTGGCTGATGTCTAGTTTCATGCCATTATGGTCAGAAAAGATGCTTGAAATAATTTCTATCCTCTTAAATTTGTTGAGGATGGTTTTGTGACTGAGTACATGGTCTATCCTGAGAATGCTCTGACACAGATATTTTTTGTCCCTGATAGACACAAGATGCAGAGTAAGGAGATAGGGTGTGAAGCGATGTGGAGAAAAAAAATCCAAACCCCACCCATCATGGGATCAGGAACCAGGTACCCAGTATACTATTTATCTATTAAACTTGCATGAGGCAGTGTCGCCTTTCTTTTGGTGAAGAGGGTCCAGTATTCTAATGTAAAATAAAGCAGTTTGCTTTATGGGATGAGTGGACCATGCTTTCAATTTTCTAATGTTGACTGTGTGTTGGTTACTCTACATTTGCCCCTCCTTTCTCCACCCTGCTTGGCCTCGTCCTGTGCCCTGGCAAGCTCCTTGTCTTCCGGCTTCCAGTTGACTCTGGCCAGTGGGTGGTGCTGGAAAGAGATCAGAGGAGTCATGGACCTATTTACACCCCTGCACCCTCTTGCCAGACCACGGTCTTTACAATGGTTGTGTTCCTGTTTGTCATGGTGACTTTCGAGTGTCCCTTCTTCTATTGCTTCTCTGCCTTTTGACTAAGATCAAGTGTAGAGTGTCCCTTCTTCCCCAGCTACAGCTCTCCCTGGGTCCAGGAACACCATGGCCCCTCACTTCTACAGGCCTGCATGTGGCATCGGCTACCTGCTCCTGCTTGTCCCTGGTCTTCATTCCTTGATGGGTTCTTAACTCAAACAGACTTAAGAAACTGTTTGCACCCATGTAAAAAGTCCCCTTATTAGACTCCCTTAATTAAAGCCTTTGTGCAGACCAGCTGTTTCCTGACGGAGTTAAGTAGAAAAATACTCTTGCCTAATACTGCCCTTTCCCCAGCCCCCTCCAGTCGTCTATGCCTTCTTAGGACGTACCGTGAAGGAAGAATATATGAAGCAAGAAGAAGTCACAGGCAGGAGGAGTAGCTCACACATCTTCCTGTCCTCTCCCCCACTAGACAAGAGGGTTGGGGATCAGAAAGCTGTTTCAGGTGACTAAGATAAAGTGCCTCACAGCTGACACCCTGACTCACGCTGTGAACCAAGCCCAGGCAGTGGTCAAAGGACCTTAGCAGACCAAAGCAAGGGTTACGGTTTTGAAAAGAATAAAATCAAACCTTTGTTAGTAAGAGGAATATACTTTCCTCATGTGAGGGTAGACTGTGTGGTGTCCTCAGGGCAAAAAGCACATGTCTGCTTTGCTGAGGTGCTTCTCCTCGGAGGAGATGAGCCCCGGCTCTGGCTGTGGGGAGCCCGGCTGTGGAGCCTCCCTGACCCCAGGCTCTCGGAGTCCCGCTGCCCTAACAGGGCAGTGAGGAAAGATTTCATTTGTATCCGGCACA